TTTATTAAAGATGAAAGACTTTAGACAGTTTTTCAACTCTCAGTAATGCCACAGTGATCGTTTGATATATGGACCTGCAGCGGAGTTTAGGCCCAGACACGGCTAGTGACGTCAGACTGAACGACCGGATATTTCATCGGGGTAGCTGACGTCATTGGTGCTGAGAAACTTCTGGAAATTTGCAGCATGCATCATCATCACCAAAATGAATGAAACTGTTGTCTTTGTTCAGCAGGTTCAGTCTGGGCTCAGCTGCGGATGCTGACTGGGATTTAAAACCTGCCAACATGTTTGTTAGCAAGCAAACTTCAGCAAACTCTTAAACTTAGCTGGTTTATTGTTCTACCCACGTCAAGGACTAATCCCAAAGTGTAGGCCGGGGACCCCTGATGGGCCGAGAAGGTACTGCAGGTGACCGACAGTAATAACAGTTTGTTATGGCTTCAAACCATGAATGAAAACACAAGGAGTTGTTCATTTAAACAGTCCTGCAGCACTAACACGTATCTACAGTTAAATCCATTTTTCACTTTGTTTGAAAAAAACACACAATAGCTTTTATTTATAATACAGCGAGCCTCGCAGGTGGAAACATATTAAAAAATAAGGATCACAAACTGAGCTCTGCAGATTTCAGAAACTGAATTGTTTGGAAAAAACAAGTTTTGGACGCTGGTTTATCTTCACGCTGTCAGTGCACAACACACGTGCAGCTCCGTGTTTCTGCACGCGCGTCACAGATGGTGTCATGTCAAGCTAACAATGCTAATGCTATAAAAGCAGCCTATCACGTAGCTGCTGTGGAGCAGCGCGACCAGCAGAAACTCAGACGACCACTTTCAGCGACTGTTTCTGGAGAGTCAGCGGGAACGGTTGGTGTTATGAATACCAACATATCTGTGGGCTCAGCGGGGGCCAGGAGGGGGGGGCGGGAAGGCTAAAAATACACGTTTGGAATAAACATGCGTCCATCTCACCTCCATCAGGACTGAACCCACATCGAGGCTCGGAGGCTTCTTCCTGTAACGTTGCCGTTCAAACCTGCAGTCTGTAATCAGGGTGTCTGAAAGCTCTGCTGTGCCACAGCACCGCGTGAGAGTTACCCATCTATCCACCCAGTCATCATCCATGTATTTGTTATTGATCTTATTTCTTACTGTGTAATCTTTTACTTTTTTAAATCTTTGTACAGCACTTTGGCCAACATTTTGTTGTTATTAAATGTGCTTTATGAATAAAGTTCCACAGCACAGCTCCACAGTGTCACTCGAGCCTGTAAAGTTCAATCCCTGAACCTTCTGTAGTGATTCTTCCTCAGAAACTTTCTTTAAACCAGGAGAAAAGTTTGCTCTTAATGGGAAACTGAATATGGTGACCTCATGGAGGCGGGCTTTCCTTTACCATCAGAGGGATCATGTGATCACCCACTGTGGGCGACCAGGCTTTTTTTATACCAGTGAGCTCACCAAAGTGTCCCAGGCTGCTGCAGCTTTGTCCTGATCCTGCAGCTCAGTGAGGAGCGCCTGCAGACGCTGCGCTGAGAGCTGCTTTGTTGTGGTTCAGAGAAACCGCAGCAAACGGGCGTTTGAAAGGTTTTCCAGTAAAGGTCCTTCGTAGCTCTACATGGAAGCGTTCTCTGAACTGGTTCTTGCTTTGCGTGATAACAAAGCTCCACCTGCAGCCTGTCGGTCTGCACTGAAACACAAGTGTCACACAGACTAAGCTGCAAAGTGCACGTGAAGCTAACCGAGGGAACCTCGCAGGACTCGTTTGACTCCACATGTCCAAACTTTGCTGCTGAAATTTGTCTTTTTTGTTTTTCTTTGGAAAACAATTTAAAACATTTTTTAATTTAATCAAATTTCATCACTTAGAGTTTTAGAAGAATAGTTTTCAGAACAGTTGACCTTTCTGAGGTCGTGACCTTTAACATCATCTTTTCCTGTCTTCTGTCCAGATCCTCTGACTCTGTGTCTCCATGGTGAAGTGGGCGGGGTTTGATGTCAGCCCCTCATCTCGTCGACCCTCCCGCCATGCCCACCATGGTCTCTAGGTTGCCCAAGTTTGGTTCTCGGCCCAGATCTCAGACGGCTCCCGCCGCCACCGCCGCTGTCAGCACCAGCGCTGCTGCTGCCGCCAGCGCTGCTGCTGCTGCCAGCGCCGGCACCCGCCTCACCAACGGGTTCTACCACCACCCTGGACCATCAGGGGGCAACGGCGCCCTAACGGCGCCCCCGTCCTCGGCTAAACAGAATGGATTTATCCGAGTGCCGAGTTCGATTTCTGTGAAATTGAGGAGAGAAAATGGATTGATGGTGGACGGCGGCGGTGATGGGGAGAGGGCGTGGAGCCGGGGGAAGGGCGGATGGAATCGCAGCAGCGTCCAGCAGTTTTACTCCCAGCGTGACGCCAAAAAAGCAGCCTCTGTGGAAAAGGGGCGTGGCTTTGGCCTGCCTGTGCCATCATCATCATCATCGCCGTCTCCACAGTCCAGCCCCAGCACGCCTCCTGCTTCCAAAATCAGATCCAACAAACTGAGTCCATCAGGGCCGACCAACGGCGCCAAACACGCCCTGAACGGCGTTTCGGGGCCCAAACCGCGGCCCGGACCCAGCAGCTCTCTGAGACGGCCTCAGAGTTTCCTCTCTCGTGCCGGCGGTTCTGGTCCTGGATCTCGAGCTGGTTCCCCGTTCCAGAAGAAGACTCCAGCCAACCGCTCGTACTCCAGCGACAGCCTCGGCTCCGCTGTCTCCGTCCGGCTCACTGAAGACGATCGCTTTCGCTCACGGAGCCTCACCCAGGTCCGACGGCAGCCCTCCCCCACCCTCACTCCTTCCTCCGCCTCCTCCTCGTCCCTCCCTCAGTCCCCCTCCACCAGCAGGGCTCCACCTAAAGGCAGCCTGCTGAAACCACCTTCAGCGAGGTCGGGGGTCCCCTCCCTCCTGCCTCCATCTGCCTTAAAGAAACCTCTCCTAACCAGCCTGAGCCCCACCTCCAGGCCCAGTGGCATCAGCTACAAGATGTCACGCCCAACACTCATCAAGCAGTCCCGCCCACTGCGAGCGACGACGGCCAATCAGTGTGTAGACGACCAAGGACTGAGCAGACGGAAGGACTCTGTAGAGACGCCTTCGACGACAGAAAACAGCCCAGGTTCAGCTTTTAACTCTTTATTTTACCCACAGCTTTTTATTTTTGTCTGTTTGTAGTTTCTCTCTAACAGCTGCTCGTCCTCCTCCAGAAAACACTCCAGAGGCTCCGGACGCAGAGGAGCTGCCGGCAGAGCCTGCATCCCAGGGAGAGGTGTCGATTTTAGGGGAGACGCTGGAGGACATGTCCCTGTCTTCCACCTCCTCTCTGGATAGAAACGACACCAGTCAGGAGTACATGGACGACTTTGACAACCTCGGTGAGATCAGATTTCTTATTTTATACAGATGTCAGTAAATTAGGATAATATCCGACTTCACGGCGACGCTTGTCTGCTGTTTGCAGGAAACGGAGGCGTCGGCATCCTGCTGCTTTCCTCCAAAAACGAGGAAGACGACTCCGGGCTCGACCAATCGTGCGCCAGGTTTGATGACGACAAGGTGGTCGCTAATTGTGTCACCAAGGCGACCGGGCTGTGTTTTCTGGATGATGGTATCGACTGGAGCAGCGTGAGACTCACAGGTGAGTTTTATGAGGAGCAGGAGGGAGGAGAAAAAGTGTCGAGACGACTGCTTAAAAAAATAGTCCTGCTTGTGTTCAGGTGAACGAGGAGACCATCAGCTGACCCGACTCTCCCGCCGGAGACGGTCCAGTCAGCCGGACTACCACGAGCAGGTAGCGCCATTAAACCCATACAAAGAACTTTCTATCCACCAATCAGAAGGAGCTATTACTGCCCACAGCAGCAGCTCTCTTTATAAAACCACAGTCTGCCAACCTATCGGCTAATGCTGTGGCTTAGCCTGTGCTAGCGGCCATATTCCTTGTAGTTTTGGGCCAACACTTCCTGTTACATTTGCCAGATTTTGTTTTTTAATTAGAGAAATCAATAAAAGCCAGTAGGCTGCTTCATTTGTATGAAAAAATAGAGTCTAACAGCACAAACACAGTCCGGAGGTCCAGTTCAGGGACTCCAGTTAGCTGAGGTGTAGCTAGCAGACAGCTAGCAGCTACAGCCGACTGTGTCACCATTCACCTGTCAGTCAAAGAGGCCACACCCCTAATAATGCAGACTTTAAGCCTTAAAACAGTTTAAAAAGGTGAGTTGTGAAAACAGTTGATATGAAGAGTTTCTGTATGAGGCCGTCAGCATGTTTCTTTCTGCTGTAGAGCTTTAACACTGCAGTTCCTCTAATGTCCACTAGAGGCTGACTGCCTCTAGTGGACATTAGAGGAACTGCAGGCTTTGATATCAGCACAGGAGGATGCTGCTTGGCCTCACCCTGCCTTCAGCCTCACCTCATAGACCCACTTCAGATATTTAGCCTCTTGAATTGTCACAGTTTCCTCCATTTGTCAAAGCTTTAACCCATTTCCAGAAACATGACATAATCTTTGAGTCACACTTTGACCTGACTCACAGCTCAGCTGCAGCAGGTGAAAGCAGCCCCCCACGTGGACAGTTAACAGGCAGGGTGTAGACGTGGTTTCTGTCCCTGAAAGCCGGGCGAGGCAGGACGCTGTTGGGAAAGACAGAGGAGGACGTCTGTCCTGCTCTCATCTGCAGTCATGAACGTTTAATAAAAGCTGAAAAACTCCACGTGGTCTGAATCAAACATGTCCGTCCCCTCTGCAGGGCGGCTCGTCCCTGGACCTGTCCCCCTCCGACAGCTGCGGGTCCGGGGGCACCTACATGTGGGACGAGGAGGGTCTGGAGCCCCTGGGGGGCGTCGCCACAACCGCGTCCATTCACACCAGCAGCAACACCACCCACCACATCGGGAGCTTCGACTCCGACCTCAACAGCATCGTAAGGACAAACCTGCAGCTCACACACATTTGCCCCCAACCTTCCTCCAGGCTGGTTTGTAGTTTGGATGATTTCGTGGCAGCACAGCAGAGAAATGACAAAGAGGAGCGTTTAACATTCAGGAGGCATCTGCTGTGCTGCTCCGCTGAGGTTTGCTTCCACAGAGACGGCACAATGGAGACACTTCATCGTGATGGAGTCACGTGTCAGATTAGCACAAAGTTTTTAAAGTCTGAGCTCGAGGCCTCTCAGGGGAGCTCAAAAAACAGCTTCACTCAGACTGATCTTGTGTTTTGATTTCATTGATTTGAAATGTCCAAAGTTTAGTCAGAGTTCATGTTTAACCCACAGTTTCATTTATCAAACTGAAAATCAGACATTTTAATCTCACGATGAACGCTGGTGTCACGTTTCAGCTCATGTAAGTCTGCAGGAAGTCCTCTGGCTCCCTCTTGTGTCCACTCTGTGAGTTACACTCACAGCAGATCAGATGTCCTGTTCTTCTTCTTGTTCTGCCCTTTCTTCATTTCTCTTCTATAATTTCTCTTTACTTCTTCATTACATCATGTTGTTGTTGTTCCTTTTATTCTTTGTACTCCTCTTTAGTCTCGTCCTCACTCCACCTTTCTTCTTCTTCTTCTTCTGATTCTTCTTCTACAGTTGAAGGGATGTTAAAGGTTCCCTCACTGTTTATACTCCCTTAAATCCAGCTGCGGTTTCTGTATTTGTGGTCAGGAGTTTATTTTTTACTCCGCAGTGATACGTTCAGTGTTCAGCATCTCTCTCTCTTGACCTTCCTCATGCATCCTTCTATTTCTGAACAATATCAGACATTTATTCAGTAAAGTTTGTCTCCAGCTTCCAGTGTCCACTGAAACTTTACAGACACTGATGTTCATGAGATGATGAGAGAAGCTGGAAGCTCCCATTCTTCTCACGGTTTTCCAGTTTTAAGAGCGTCTCTGCTAAAGTCCGACTGGTTTATCGGTATTATGGACTGTAATGGTTACAGATGTATGTGTCGGTGTCAGCTTGTATAACAGCCAATAACTGAAACCTTATAATGTGGATAAAAACACCGTTCGACCATGTTATCAATGCGGATGTTGCATAATTTATCCACCAGAGGGCACTCTGCAACCTCGTGATGAAAACACAACAACCAGCTGAAATAAATAAACTGGCACAGGAAACAGGAAGTCAGTTTAAACATCCTGTATCTGTGCGGCTTAAACGCCACCCGGCCATTCTGCTTGTTGCAGGTTAATAAATCGCACTTTGTTAGCATCAGAGTGTTTACTGGGAGCTACAGCTGCCATAAACGACTAATGTTTCTGTCTTCTTATCAGACATGAAGTGAGCATCTGGGTGGTGTTACACAAAGCTGAAGGCTAACAGTCAAAGGGATTCAGATGTGTTAAACTGCTTCGAGCCGTGGCTTCATGTACGCTCTGTCCTGTTGAGTAAAGTTAATCTCCATCCTGAATGATGCTGAGAGGTTGTTAATGAGCTCCCGTCTCAATGTGCCCTCTGCGTTAATGAGCTGTGGGCCCAACGAGTGATTGATCGCAGTGAGCTGAGGGTCTTAATGATGTGAGGACATTAACGAGCTCTGGACTGATGGCTCAAGCCTTTCTCGTCTTTAAGCTTTAACCTGATTGTCTTCTGTTTGTTGGTGGATGTGAAACTGAAATTATCATTAGAAATGTTTGACCCGACCACCAGGGGTCAGTGTTGCCTCAGGGGAAAGCTTTGCTCTGTTTGTTTTAACAGACGGTTATCAACGACGAGGTTTCTGTGTTTTCATCAGAGCGAGGACAGAAAAAGAGGAGGAGTAACGATGATCACAGGGGGGCGTGGCACGAGGAGAGTTTAAGAAATGTTAGGAAACAAAACTAAAATTTTTAACTCTCCAAAAGTTGATTCTGTTCATCCGGATGTAGCATTTTTTTTTTTTTTTTGACTGTTCATTAATGCAAATGTTTAATCAATTAGTCACATGGAAACTGCTCTGTGCATTTAAGCTTTTATGGTGAAATTCTCCCCTCTTTATTTATAAAGTTTTGCACATGTAATTTAACATATCAGGCCCAATACAGCAAGTATCAACCGATATAAAGACATATATCAAAACAAATGAGGCCATCGAAATTCGGATAATAACAATAAAACAGAAAAAACAAACAAACAAAACAAAAACAACAAAAAGAACAAACAAACAAAAAATAAATAATCAACTCCCTCCCAAAACCATAACAGAAGGGAACCCTGTGGTACAAAAGTTTAGTCTATTGTAAGTGTTTCCAACGAGTTAAAGTAAGTGATAAAAGGCTGCCACATCTGTGAGAACTTATTAACATTTCCTCTGAGTCTAAATTTTATTTTCTCCATTTTTAAAAAGAACGTAGCATTTTGTGGGGGAAACGTTTCGTCATCATCAGGTGACGTCTTCAGTCTCAGCTGACTGCAGGCTTCAATCTTAGAAACAGGACATTTGCATAATGACTGAAACCAGCCCAGTGAAGCAACAATGGGCTGGGAGGGCAGTTCCTTCATCTTAACTATGCAAATTCTCATGACCATTGATCAACAACCACTGACCAAAGACCATGTTAACATTTTTAACCACTTTTTATTCCACAATAAAAGCCATAAACAGAATTGGCAGATAAGAAGTTGCTTCCTGTTTAGGCTGGATTAATACGGAAACGAGAGCAAGCCGAGAGCTCGGCAACGTGTTTCAGTTTTATGTTTTTATTACAACATGCTGACGTCGGCCTTTTGATGTCACTGATGTCAGAGGGCATCTTCTTCATGCTCTTCCTGTTTCCTCCTGTAGAGGGCAGTGCTCGTTATTACATCTTTAGGTTGAACCTTCTCATGATTTATTGATTATAAAATCAGTACATACTATAATGTTGTGTTGTGTTCTCCTGTCATGGACTCGGTTAGCGCTAAAGTAGCGTTTAATGACGTTACTTTAGCTTCTGTGCTCACAGCTCTATGAAATACCCTGAAGTCTAAATCAGTGATTTAGTTTCTTGTTGATACGTGTTTTTGTGAATGATGTGGTCAGAAGAATGAGAGAGAAGGAAAAGGAAGAGAAAAGAAGGGAAGAAGGGCAAGAGGAGGGAGGTGAAGTGACAGGATGGAAGTAGGAGAGGAAGAGGTGAAGATGACAAAGAGGAGCAAAGAGATGAGGGAGCAGGAGGAGATTAGGAGGCGGTGCGTTGATGTGGATGACTGCTCTCAGCCACCAGGGTGTGTGTGTGTGTGTGTGTGTGTGTGTGTGTGCGTGCGTGCGTGCGTGCGTGCGTGTGTGTGTTATTTTCCTCTCGGGTCGCTCAGGTGTGACTGAGCTTTTCGAGGCAGAAAAACAAACCATAGGTAAACTTGGACTCTTCGTTTTCTTCAAGGATGAATTTTGATGTTTGCTTGTGAAAAACTTTAACTCTGTTACAACATTAGTGTTGGCGAGTGTTCACCTCTGACACAGTTTGAAGCCGTTTGACTAAAAACGAGTCCTGTAACTTTTGCTGTGGTTATCGCTGCAGATCATCTTCATGGTGGCTGGAGGAGCCTCTGCGTCGTAGCTACAGGCTAACTGCATGTGGCTGAGCACATGCAGGCAGATGCTTCTGCATGAAGCAGCCTCCGAACTCTTGCACAGACAGAAGAACTCAGAGCTGATCAGCAAGCACAAAAGACCTGCTGACGACGAGGGGACGGTCTGTGCCTTTTGTCAGCTGCTTCGTTAAATTGCTGTTGATTTTTTTCTTTGGTCTTTGTGTTTCTTCGAGGTCGGCGGTGTGTGCAGCACGGCTCTTTGTCTGATCACCTTGTGCAAAACTAGAATCAAATAGAGAATTATTCAATAAATGTTCTTTTTCCTCTAACGCACAAATATCGAGATACTATCAAGTTTTCCGACCGCTGTCCTGGATGATAGAAGGATCATCTGCTGCTGTTTTCTGATGACGCTCGTTTATTTTTTCAGAATAACACGGTCAGCATGTGTCCTTCTGTAAATGAACGGAGCTCAAAGCTGATCCTTAACCTGTAGCCTGCAGATGTCCTGTGACATGTTACACAATACAAGGTAAAACCTACTGTTCAGGTTTAACTGATAGATATGATTGATTAGTTATAGATATTTATCCTCAGAGCGCTGACAGCAGTCAGACAGAGAACGTTTCTTTGTTTTAAAGTGATGCACCGTTTCTTCCTCATGGCTCTGCTAATAAAAGTTTTTATTAAATACATTTTAAAGCTGCATGAAACTCTTTAGTTTTGGAGCTGCGTGGATTTGTGAGTGGTCGTGTTGTTGTCGTTAACCAGCTGCAGTAACAGGTGACCCAATGATGTGAAAGCCGCTCGCTCAGTGAGTCGTGCTTGATGTTCACACGAACAGCAAAATCTGCTGAGTTTGGGTTTGAGGAAAGGAAATCAGGGAAGCAGGGTCCAGATTTCCAAAAACGTGTTTTCTTTATTTACAAGATAAGAAAACGGAGACGTCTCGGTGTTCTGTCTTTATCTCCTTTTAATGTTTCTTTTCCAAAATAAAGGACAGGAAGCTGTAACTGTTCAGTCGGGATAGGTTTGGACCTAAACAACACTTCACTGAGTGGATCCGTACTCTCATCTTTCCTGTGTGGTGCTCCGTGGAAAGGAGCATTTGTATTTCCAGCTCTGGATGCTCTCGTTCGCTGTCTGCACGCTGACGTTAGAAGTTCCTGAAACATTTTCTGCTCATTGAATTTAGCCCGGTGTGTTTTCTTGGAGTCGGCTTATTAAAGACCACGTGTCTCTGTCGTACGCTGTCTTTCAGGACATCCTGAACAACCTGGACTCTTGCGATCTGGCTGATGATGATCTCATGCTGGACGCAGACTTCCCAGAGGATGGCTCTCTGCACAGCGGTACGTCTGAACATGTGCAGATATCACTGATACCTGTAAAGTGAAATGATGGATCCCAGTAAGGACGTAAAGTTAAATTTTATTCATACAG